AATTCCGTTTATTGTATAAGAGCTTGTTTAAGATAAAGGAGAGAAATGAGCACCTGGATTGTAATCACCATACAGTACTTGAGCTATAGCATCGCCTCCATCTTGACCTGGATAGCCAGCCCACAAGATTGCCCCAAACTTACTATTGTTCTTCGCGAAAGAGACATCAACAGGACCAGCTGCCATGATAACTAGGACTACAGGTCCTGGTGCTGCTTCAGACACGTCCATCACTAGCTTCTCCTGAAATCCAGGTAACTTTAGGTCCTCCCTATCTAGTCCTTCCCTTTCTATTGACTGACTTAGCCCCACTACAATCACCGCTGTATCTGCTGATGCTGCAGCTTTGGCTGCAGCCTCAATTTGGCTTGCATTTTTGCACTCAACATCACTACATCCCGGCTCGTATGTTAAGCTCTCCCCATACTTCTGCTCAAGAGCTTGCAAAAGGGTAGTGTAGCGGCAGGGTATACCAGCATAGATGCTTATCATAGTTGTGGTCGCATTAGCGTTGGGACCTATGAGGGCCAACTTCCTAGTGATATTTTGGGATAAAGGAAGAACACCATCGTTTTCTAACAAAACTATACCTTGTCTTGCAACTTCACGTCCTAAATTTTGATGGTCATCAGTACATACATCAGATGGCCCAAGTTTCCCAAAGGGATGCTGTTTGGGGTCCCCATCAAAGAAGCCTAGCCGCATTAGAACAATATAATTGTATATCAGGGATTCATCTACTGTAGCCTCCTCAACCTTTTTTAAGTCTATAGCTTTCTGTGTGTAATCCGGGAGAGAGGTTCCACAATTTAAGTTCAAACCTGTGTGGTCATGTGAGACAGATGAGTATGTAGTCCAGAAGAAGAGTCAATGATAACTGCAAATCATTTATTAGAAGATGGCACAGGTGATCAGTACCTGCTTTCAGAGCGAGTGCTACAGCATCCTCAGCTGTATCAGTGTAATTCATTTGTTTGTAATACGTGCTAATGGAATCGCAATCTGAAACTATATATCTGCATCAGAGCAAACAAATGTAGCCTCAGGACATGATCAACAAAATTGCCATTTTCGCTATATTTGTTCTCGAGTAATGTATCATAAAAATATTGATGAGGTGCTTTTCCAGAACTGGTATTACTATACAACACAAAAGTTGTAGACTTCTGTGGAAGAAACATACCCATCTAGTCCCCATTGATCTCTGATAATTCCTTTCAGCAAATTGGGGTCTGCACAGGTTGGGATCCCATTCACCTTGTTGTATGAACACATTACACTGCTGACATGCCCCTCTTGTACGCAGCTCTTGAATGGTGGCTGATAAGTGTCCTCCAAATCCTGTGCTGTCACCTATCAGCAATGAGGATGTCTTAACTTGTCAAAACTTTTCTCCTTTCCCCAATACTTCTTAAGAAGAAAGAGGGGAAAATATATTTAAATAAAGACACAAAAAATTGTAGGCGTCTAACTGGAAATGAAATTATTTTATGAAAACTATGCAGGAAAACACAAAAATAATCTGAAACATTCTGCACGATCATGAGCAGTGCCAATGGTACTTTTGTTTTTTTGGGATATAAGTAGTATTTTGAAATACCAAAGGGATGTGAGAGCATATACACCTTCAAAAATAGTAAGTTGGATAAGAAACATCTAAAAAATGCTCTGTCAGAAAAATGGATTCTCATTAACTTATAGAGTAATTATCGGCAATAAAGTATACAATAGACATATTGTAGATAGTGCCAATGGAAGAGAAGGAATCCACAATACTATATTTCATACCTTTGCATCAAAGGTAAAACGAGTAATACCCTTCCAATTATCAATGTCATAGGCAGTATAGTGCTTACAACAGCTGGAAACTTTGAGTGGCCTGTTGGGTCCTGACTTGTTCACTTCCTGATTTCCTACCTCTTGCAGTCCCCGGACATAACTGACTGCATACTTGGAAACCACAAGAGGGTCTTCTCCGGGGGTCTCTTGAGCCCTTCCCCATCTGGGATCACGAAGCACGTTTATAGTTGGACTCCAGAAAGTTAAACCAGACAAGCCCACATTGTACATTGCTCGAGCTTCGGTTGACACAACTTGTCCCATCTTGTACCACAGGTCAGTGTTAAAACTGGCAGCTGAAAGAATTACTGCTGGGAAACTAGTTGCACCAGGAACTGTTTCATTAAAACGCACACCCTTCCCGGTATTTGAGACCCCATGAAGTGCCTCATTCCACCAATAATAGAAAGGCACCCCAAGCCTTGGGATGCCCTTAGCTTCATCGCCTAGCTGTTGAACTTTTTCTTCAAGGGTCAAGCGCGAAACTAGGTCTCGGGCTCGCTCTTCGTAGGATAAGCTGGTATTACAAAATGCATAGTTTACAGCATTGGGGTCACTCGCATCACATGCATGTGGTTGAGTAACACATCGTTTGGTTACAAAGATAAGTAGGAAAAAGAGGGCAAACAGAATACGTTTTTTCATGGCTTCCCTAAGCTGACCCATTTTTCTAATTTTTGGAACTTCGGGTGGTTGATTAATTTTGATTCTACAATCCTCCATTTATACTTTGATGCTGAGCCACATTTTTCATAGAGTGCTAAAAATATGACTTCTGCCACAAGCTGCAACACGGGATATGACTTTTTATTGAGGCAATACAGGTGTATGCCTTTAATTGCCTAGGTTGGCAATGATTTTGGGATGCTTAAGCGTGGAAGACAAAAAAGTGCCGAACATGGCTATGGACCACTGGTTCGTCCATCATCTAATAGCAAAAGAAAAATGGCAGATAACAGACTGGTTCGCAGTTCTCTCTGATTCCACGGTTACACTTACCTCAAGCAAGGATATCCATCTGTTTCGCTACATGCTTAATGTAAGCAAAAAGCGACGACATTTTCATGTTATCCCTTAGAAATAAAGCACATTTCCTATGAGTATATTGACACTGATTTCTCATTCTGATTGGTCGGAAATTTAGAAGCTGTAATGCAGTTAGCTTCTCGGTTTTCATGTTATCCCTTAGGATTAAAGCACACTTTGTATGAGTATATTGATAACGATTTCTCATTCTGGTTGGTTCTGAAATGTAGAAGCTGTAATCCAATTAGCTTCTTGGTTCTTGCTAAACCAAAAAAGGAAATGACTACTTATTCTTAGCTGCTTGATGGATATTGCACGCCAAATTGCAACTAGTGAATAATGTGCACTATGTGATGGAGTTTTTGTGGAAAAGGAAAATTGGAGGAAGCCCTTAAGAACAATTTGCACATTCTGCCACTGCACTACAAGTCTATACAGAAGTCATTGGCGAGCTTGTAGTTTTCAGGATTTCTGACGATCTTCAAGCATTTAAAAACTCCACATTGTGTGGAAGAGACAAAGTGCATGATGAAAATTAGATGAACTTTAGAGATCAAGTGAGAACAGAGTAGTGTCTTCGAAGCAATTGCCAAAGCAATAAAGTATGACAAGCCACCAAGATGTCATCTTAATATCTTATCAGCAATTTGCAGGCTTAACTTTGGAAACTGTAGTGTGCTGTGATAGCAAAATGATTACTGTTCTGTGACTTAGCCCCAATTCTAGGTATAGCAGACAATAAGGCCGTGCATAGGGTTGTCAGCAGACTGTGGATTGGGACTTTTTAAGTCTTTTGTGTGTGCGCGCCATGGATTCGGTTTATTTTGTAATGCTTCTCCTACTAAGGGTGCTATCAAGCCAAGTGCCCGCAAGTAGCTTGCGAGAGCAGCTTAGTCAAAAGTTTGGAGTTCGAGCTCTCATTGCATGTAATGAGTCGCATTCGAGTATTAGAAGTAAATACTCGAGTATTCTATTCGTGAGTGGCTTAGTCAAAAGTTTAGAATTTGAACTCGAATTGCTTGTTACGTGTAATGAGTCGTGTTCGAGTATCAGAAGTAAATACTTGAATATTCGACGAGTTTAATTGAGTATTTATATCATTTATATATTATATATTTTAATTATGAAATGACTATCAAGGGTTCATAGTTTAATAAATTTACATGAAGTAATGTTCAATAAAAAAAAAGTGATGGATGAAAAAATGATAATATAATAAATTAAAATGTAAAAAATTAAAAACAAAAAAAGAAAAACTTGAGTTTGAACTAGAGTAATTCGAGTTTGATAAGACTTGCAATTTACTCGAACTCAAACAAATTGAGTTCAAACTTAATTTTCATTATGTTAAGTTCAAATTTATATACTCGATCGAACTCGAACTCGAGCTAAGTTCGAAGGTGCTACTCGAGTTCGACTCAGCCCGACAGCATCCCTACCTCCTACCTTTACAAGAAAAATAGAATCTACCAAGGAAAAAAGAGCAAGTCGGAAAAAGCAACATGCAAAACTCACAAATGAATAAACGAAGATGTATTTGACCACCCAAAAAATGACTATCATCACTTATCTTGTGAAGGGAAAAAGGATCACGTGTTTGTTAAGTACTAGCCACCAGCGATGAACGATCGCTCATTCAGTCATTCCATCCACAAAGTCGGGAAAGGGGCACCAACAATTTTTCATTTTCACTGATTGGAAAGACTGATTGCCTTGACCTGGGTCCAAATAATTTTTGAACCGAAATCTACTGGTTCAAAATGATTAATCCAAATAGTCATTAGACTCCCGTATCAAACCTTTCCTTTTCTCTTCCCACCACCAATGTGAAATACTGCATCCTACTAACCTTTGAGGCTTTACGAGAAATCATCAGAAGAATTCAGACTATCCACTTCTTTAGAATTTTATGAGAACATTGTATGATCAGAATTATATACCAAATAATGTGATAAAATGTGAGTGCAATAAAATTGCATCCAGAAGGGACGTTTGTATTTTCCCACAATTCCTTACTCCATCAGTTATCCCCTTATCTCCTCTACCAACCGTCAGATTGCGTTGACGGTTTGACCTGCAACCCAGATCTGTCATAACGCGCATAATTACCTTCCCATTTGACCGTTTCCCGCTTTCTATGGCTATGTTTTCTCTTCCTCATAACTCTTTAAATCCGGACGCTAGCTCTGCTTCTTTCTGCTCTTGTTTTTACAGAATTGTTTGGCTATATTCAATCATTTTTCTGCCTTATTGCGGCCTTGCCAATGTTAATGCTCGATTCTTCTAACGATATTGTTCAAGATTTCACGTCTAGATTCCCAGTTTGTTTCAACTATTCCACGATTCGTATTCAAGAATTGAATTTTGTTAGTCATCAACGATTGTTGCTAATATCGGTTTCTTGATGGTAATGGCTTTATTGAAATCTGGGGTTCTTGAAAAACATCTTCAGGAATTGAAAGATGAGGACCAGACATTGGGGGATGACAGGAAACCTGTATTGTTACAAATTAGAAGCATAATTCCCGTATTAGAGGAAGGTGATCTTTTTCCTGATAGAGGATTTTATTTGAAGGTATCGGATGCGTCACATGCTATGTACGTTTCCTTGCCTCAAGAACAGAATGATATGATTTTGAGCAATAAATTGAAGCTTGGACAATTCATTTATGTACATAAGTTGGAGAAATCAGAGCCTGTACCCTTGATCAGAGGCTTAACCCCAGTCCCAGGTAGGCGACCGTGTGAAGGAAGTCCTGAAGACATCCATTCTCCAACTGCATTGGTGAAGTTTCTTCAGGTATTGGACACAGATCCAGTTGTTGAAAAGGGAGTGATTTCGGAGAAGACAATCAATGAAGATTCAACTATTTCAAGAAAGCCACTACATAGAGGATTATCTGATTCGGAAGGCTTAATAAGAAATCATAATGGCTTGCAGCAGAGGCCGAGGGGAAGGTTTCGTTCTTTGAGTGCCTCAAGAGCACGTCATGGGGAAAGGACAGTGGGATCACGAAGCAGTAAGCCAACTTCCACGGATGATGATTCTGATTCTGATAGTACGCTGTCATCAGTGTCATTGATGTCAAAAAGAAAAAGCTGGACTCAGTCAGACATTTTGGGGTTGAAGCAAATGTTTGATTCTTCAGCCATCAAAAATGAGAGTAAACCCGTGGCTAAAAGCCTGAGTGCCAATGTGAGTGGACTGTTGTCACTTATCTTTCTTACTGATTTTCTTTTCCAGATCTTACTATATGAGCTGAATTCAAGTAACATGTCAAATCATAGTGTCTAAGGAAAGATTTCAGTGTCTATTTCCTCTTAAGATTTTGATTATCTGTCCAATTTATCTGGGAAAATTTATATCACAAATTGCATGTAAACACTTAGACTTGTTAATTTCCATGTTTGCTTAATAGTATTGTTTGTGAACTCTTTTGTACGCTATGAATTACGATAATGTCCATGTTTTTGGCCTCGGTTAATTTCCATCTCACAAAATCTATATAGACAGGTTTCACCTGTTCGTTCCATGAGGTACGACAGCTCAGATGAATGTTCAAGCTCAACCACACGTAGGAGAGATGTGAGTTCGACTAAGAAATTGGTAAAAGGTACCAACAAGAGCAGGACTCCTGTGCCGAAGGTGATTTCTGAGCAGACTTCCCAACCAGTATCTAGCCTAGTCCATGATGGAAAAGGGGCAGAAACTGCAATAGCTTGGGAATCCCTCCCATCCAAACTAGTAAAGCTTGGAAAGGTATGCAGTTAATCTTTCCTCACAAGACTTGCATGTACTAGTTTATTTTTCCTACAGGAGTAGCAATGGTGGATATTCTGTTGCTTGCACTGCAGGAGGTAGTTCGGCAAAGAGACATTGCTTTGAGTGCCGCTGCTGATGCTCTTCAAGAAGCTTGTGCTGCAGAGAGATTGCTTAATTCATTAAGGTGAGAAATACACGAGATTCCTAAACAAGTTTTTATCTTTTTTCTTTGTTAATGCATAGATGCAGAGAGATTGCTTAATTCATTAAGGTGAGAAATACACGAAATTCCTAACCAAGATTTTATCTTTTTTCTTTGTTAATGCATAGATGCTTACAGATAGTACTGCCTTTTCCACCTTTTCTTATTTGATAATTTGTAATGAGTGATGAAGAAACTAAGAACATATTGTTCATGTATCATGATGACGGTAATTCATTCGCTAAATAAGCTGATAGTTGGAGAGCTCATTCTGAAGATATTTCCAGCTTGCATTCTGTAACGCATATCCCTGAATTTGGTCCATGAAGTTCAGTTCGTGGTTCCTCTGTTACCATACAGTAACTTTCTGTGTTTAGCCTCCAATAGCTTAAGGTCTTAAGATACTTTCTCACTCAATTAACTGTTCGACGTTAATCTTCTCTTCTGCCTGGAATTTTTAAACCTACATTTCTTCGCATGTTGTGCATCATTAGTAATTTTGGACATCCATGTGTCCTGACAAGTACATACATGTTGAGTCTAACATGATCCATCCCAAGGTTTTCGCGCTGCAGTATACGTGTTCAACTTTAAGGCGACAAGGATGCATCACTGGCTAGATTTATGGAACTTGGTGTCGTTAATAACAGGACAGGAGGGCATTAGCATTTTTACGCTTTTATTCATTTTTGAGAATTGGAGTGCCAAGTAGCCAGCTGTTAGAAAATATTGTTTTTTCCTTAGAGAGTAGAAATTCAATGTACAAAGATGATCTTTGAAGTCAAACATATAACTTATGACGTTAAGCAAATTTTCTATGCACTTCACTTCCAGAATTATGACTTTATTGCACAAAAATTAGTTGAAAGTTTCAGATAGTGTTGGAAAAGCTTTATCTGGAATTGTTGATTCTGCTTCCTCCTAGACTTTCTAATCCATTTCACTTCGTTGGGTTCTTCCAGTACATATTCAGAATTCCATGTATCAGGAGAAGAAGATGTGCAGCCATATGTTGATAAGTTTTTTGACCTCCAAGATGACTTGGCTCGCACCAGATTGATTGTGCAGTCACTGACAAATATAAGCCCATTCAAGACACCAGAAACTGATGCAAATGGCACTACTTCAGTTAAGGAAGCGTTGAATATAGCACTCGAAAGAAAGAAAAATGCCACTACATGGATTAAATCTGCTGTGGCTTTTGATCTTTCCACATGCTCTAGTGACCCTCTGAAGCTCAGCGTCTCTCCTGTGGCGGCAACTGACGCAGTGAAGAAACCAAGCCGCTGTGTCAAACCAAAAGGTGCACGTATTATTAGGAGACAGAGAACTAATGATGATTTACCTCTTCTTGTGGCATCTGACAAGGATTACCAAGCCGAATGGACAAGGGGCAGTACTCTATGTGCAGCCGCCGACCTAGCTAGTTTGCTGCAGGATGAATGCAGAAAATTGTTTTTGAGTTATGTAGAGAATTACTTGGAGGAAGTTGAAAGTAAAACATCCTCGATGCATTCAGACAGGCAAGTATCAGGGATGATGTATAAGGTCAAGAGAGTAAATGACTGGTTAAATGTGTTCATCGGTAAAGAGCCAAATCTCCCAGGGGATGATGGCTTTAAAATTTTTTCCAACTTGGATGATTCTGAAAGAGAAGCTTATGGAAGGGTGAGGAACAAGATATATGAAATCCTACTAAATCATGTTGAGAGGACCGCCCTGGCTTTCGGAAAGTCTTGATGCTTCCATATGAAGTTACACCCTGAATTACCCAGTCTGCTCATTATGCACGAACCGTGAGGCAAAAGAGACAAAATCAGCAGCACCGTTACAGGTTGAAGTGTGATTGTAACACTGAAGTAATGGAGTACAGAAACGATGATATGTCACAGAATGGATCATGGGGCTGGTGGCTGTTCTCACAGCATATCACGTAGTAGTGTGTTTGGATGAACTGATGTGAATAGTAGCATCTGTAAGCATAGAATTTGCCTTAAAAGTTCGTTTTATTGATTGGCCAACTCCATTTTTTAGTTAAGCCTTTGCTCTTCCAGCAAAGAGCGGCTAGGAGTTTGGACCACTTTTACAACATTCATGTACATACATGTACAGAGAGTCATACAGTCCTATATGCTTTTCTTTAACATGTTGGAGTCTTTCATTCTGGTCATCACTGATTCATGAACAACGAGGGAAGAGTCGAGTGGAAGCAATCGCCATTATTAATGTTCTTTGCTGACGGACAGATTCTCTTTTATTGTTTCTGGAAACCAATAATAGGTGTTGTGATTCTGCATTTGAGTAGCAGTTTTACTCCTGATGCTTACTCAGGTCATTGTCCTCGTACCCGCTTAATATTTTATCTTATATACTATATACTGCATATTGGAATCAAAACTAGACAATCTTGTGACTTTTGACATCAACAAACTGTTGGAGAGGCAACAAATTCTTGAACGGGCTGCATTCACGAATCCGCATACAGCAGCAGATGAACCTATCATAAAATTACACTGAGACGATGATGACTACTTTTGAAAATGATAGAAATGTGGAATGTGAAGCCCAAACACTTTATTCAGCTTTTACTATTTTATTTTACCCATGAATTGAGAACGTAAGTATTTCTATTTCTATGAGTTCTCTAGATTTAGTCTCTATTTTTTTTTTCTCAAGGTACTAAAAGTTTTTTAAAACAATTAAAAAAAGGAATAATAGTTCGACTAATTCAATAATTATATATTGGCGTCAACCGGGCAAGAAATTCTTCTATGGTGCATTGACTTTAGGTTTTAAATTATTTGATTTTTTTCCCCCTAATTTTTAACACTTTATAATCAAGATTATTCTACGTTTCTTGAGCTTATCTTTATAAAATGAAATTTTAAATTTATATATGAAAAAATATTAGGGGTTCAAAATTTTTGGATTAAGTTTTTATATTAATTTTTATAGTACTTAGTTCAAATTTTTATATTCTTATTATTCAATTATTAAATAATATGTAATTTTGTGACATAGAGTATAAATGGAAAAAATTGATAATTAAGTTTATTGAACATTATAAGTAAATATTTAAAACTAATGATGGGTACAAAGAGTGGTATAAATTGATAACTTAGTTTGCAAAAATGAATTTAAATAAGTTTACAAAAAGTTAAAATAAATGGGTTATAAATGGGTAATTGGGTTACCCAATTCATTTTTTGACTTACCCATTTATACCCATCTAATTAAATAGATATAAATGAGTTGACTCACTTATACCCATTACCCATTTTATCCAAACCAACCCGCCCAAGTCACCCATTTTGACACCTCTACTCAAGACTCTCGTCGTTACAAGTTTCATTTCGTTCTGAAGACCGCGAAGGACTAAGAAATCAATGAAAATTTCCGGAAGTAGTTTGAGAAACAACATTAAAAACCATCGTAGAAATTCAAAAACTAATAAAATATGTTCAGCTCGACATGGAACATCTCTTTCTTCTTGAATGCTATTAATTGAAATGCATAATTTCATAAACCTCCTTGAGATTTTTGACAATTTCACTCAGCTTTCCTCAGGTTTATACCTAAATTTCTACTTTAGTCCTTAAACTTAATAATGGTATCTTTAGTCCCTAAATTATAAAATTTGTCTCACTTAAGCAGTGTCATTAAGGAAATAAGACAGATTTCATGCCTAATTGGGTATACTTTAGGGACTAAATTGGAATAAATTTTATGCCTAATTGGGTATATTTTAGGGACTAAATTGGAATCAATTTTATATTTTAAGAACTAAAATGGATAAATTCTATATTTTATGGATTTAAGTACAATATATTTTATAATTTAGGGATTAAAGTGTCTCATTTTAAAATTTAAGAACAAAGGTGAAAATTCGAGTATAGTTAAAGAGTGGAAAGTGGAATTAACCCCTTTGAATGCTAGACTGATTTTAATTTTTCCTAGAAAGCCAAAAAAATGCTTGTACTCTTATGTATTTATGACTTATATATTTTGTGATTATAATGTGTGAGCAACTTTTCTTATGTCCTTTCTAATCAAAATCATAATTATGTCACATCGTGACTAACATGAAATATAATAATAAAAATCCCGTGAGGATTCAAAAATGGTTTTTTAATTAAATTTTAAATCCAAAACATTTTAAGTTTTAACTGTACTTATATAAAGTTCTAGTCACTAATTCGCAATGTCTACTTGAGATGTTTGTAATTATCGATTATAAACCAATGGGTTGCAAACAAAAAATCCCCTATGGTATATCTAATACACAAAAAAATTCCCAATGGTTTCAAAACGTACAAAACAACACCCCATGTTTTGAACTAAATTGTAAACTAATAGAATTCGATAAATTTAAAGAAAAATGACAGTTTTGACTGTTAAACTTACCGGATTTCGTTAAATTTACCATTAAATTTACCGGATCCCGTTGAATTTTCCGTTAAGTTTATTGGATTCCATTAAGTTTATCGGATATCGTGAGTTTTACAATTTAATTTAAAATATAAGGTGTCGTTTTGTATGTTTTAAAATCATGAAGAGTTTTTCTGTATATTAAATATATCACATGGGACTTTTTTATTTTTAACCCTAAGCGAATTGTTAATGCCTAATCTCTCACCTTTTAGGAGGCACGCTACTCGATATTAGGCATCCAAGTTCACAATCGGAAAAAGGGTCACCCAAATTTATCAATTAATCATTAGTTTTGGCCCTTGTGATGTTCCCAGGTCAACCACTAAATTTGGTCCTCGAAATTTCAGATTTTAGGGAAATTTAAGATAGTAACAGAAAATCATAATAACTAACAGTCAAAATTAAATTGGTGTCGGTCAAAATTTTGAACGTGCATTTCTTGTCCCTAATATTTGAAGTTTCGATCAATATGATCCCTTAAATTTAAGTAGTTACAACTAGATGTTTAAGATAAATGATGTGTGAATTCAATTAAATATAAAACAAATATACTTCCAAATTTTTATAAAATTTCATGAAAGCACTTTATATTAGCACAACATCGACGTAGAGTAAATAATATATCTTTATTATATAAGTTATAATTGGATGAGAATATAATGATAATGTATAAAATAAAATAGAGGAAGAAAAGAAGAATTATAGTTTTGAAATATATATTTATTATAGTTATTATTACACAAAATCTTGTGTATGTTGTGCACGTAAGTTTCAAATTCTTGTAGTTAGTTTTTATGATTATAAAAACTAACGAAGGTAAATTCCAATGTGGAATATTTTTAGGATATTTTTTGAAAAGTTTCTTTTATTTTTGGTTATCTTTCCTACAAATTAATATTTAACTTTCCAATATTATAGTTTTAAAATATTTATTTTAATATTTGTGTACATTAATAATTATTTAATAATTTAAGTAATTTTACAAAAAATTGGCTTCATTTCAAACTCAATTCATAACCTATTGAAATGCCAGAAAAAAAACTCAATTTATAAATAGTTTATATTTTGTATATACTAAAGGGAATTTAACTAAGTGTTTAATTATCACTAAAAAAAGATAGAACTCATTATCAGTTAATTATTAATAGAGAAAAACAATCACACACATGTATTATACCATATTTGAGACTAATTATGAAAAAAAAGAACAAGTATATGAGATATTAGCACCATAAATTAATAAAATAAAAAACAACGAGAAGAAAAAGAAATTTACTTATTCAGGTGCCCGTCCATATATTCCTAGAAAAGGAAAAGAAAATACAAATAAAAATGTGAAAAATATCCCACTTGACAATATCCCACGTGACTGCTCTTCAGATTATTATCCTAAATAATCATTTCATCGAATTTTTTATTCTGAACTAATTGGAGAGTATATTTAATGCATTTTACGGTACCACTGCTTTCAATGTCTCCCCTGCTGCAACTTTTGCTGGAGAGACATCATTTAAATTCAAGAACAAAACCCTATAATTCACCCAAACTATAGCAGAAGTAATCAGTACTAGTATTCTAGCTCAAAACCCAATTTCCAGTTTCCACTTAACCCCACCAGCACACAAAATTCTGTAGAAGTAAATTGAGTCATCAGTTTCCGTTCAAGAGTTCTTTTTTGGTTTTCTTCCCGTTTTTATTTATTTTGGAAATTCAGAGCAAATGGGCCGTTATGAAAGGTCAAAATCTGCAATCTTGCTAGGGTTTTTGGTATTGAACTTGACCCAATTAGTGATGGGTCGGTTCGTGGTGGAGAAGAACAGTTTGAGAGTGACGTCACCGGATAGTATCAAGGGTACTCATGATAGTGCCATTGGGAACTTTGGGATCCCTCAATATGGAGGGAGCATGTCTGGGACTGTTGTTTTTCCAAAGGAGAATCAAAAGGGTTGCAAAACTTTCAGTGATTTTGGGTCTTCTTTTAAGCCCAAGTCTGGAGCTATGCCCAATTTTCTTCTTGTTGATCGAGGAGGTATAACATATCATGCACCTTTTCCGCATTAATTTGCTTGTTTGTTTATCTCATGCTTTGGTAATTTGTTTATTTTTCAGATGATTTGCTGCTTAGTTAATTTTTAGTTGGAGCTGATATGATCAGTTTCTTGACTTTTGTGTGGCTTGCGTAGGATAAGCTTCTTTAGCTTTGATTATGGTGCTCTTATTTTAGTTTGGTTAAACTACTTGTTCTCCGCTCGTCTAAAGTGATTATAAGCTTGATGGCTACAGTAATCTGGGCTTGATTGTTGTTTACATGTTTATTGTTCTTTTATACTTACTGGCGAGTCGTGGAGGTAACCAGTTTTTTGTTTTCTCGCATAAGTTACAACTGTTTTGGTCTCTTCTGAAGGTTATTGTTGTGCAGCTTTCTTCCTGTGTTGTCTGACTTTTGACTTATGGGGTTTTTGAATACTTAATTTTTTTGTGGTCCTTCTGCGCCTGAATTCTGCTTTTTGTCTGTAATTGGTTAAATATTTCTTTGAGCCTTGCTTTAGATTTGGGTTGCCAATAGGAGGACAATCATTTCCGGCTAAATATTTAGATTTGAATGTCATGTGTGGTCATGGACATTTGGTTGGGTTTTATAGTTATATCTGTCATTCCTTTTGTTTGTTCTTTCATCTTGATATATAGAAGATTATTTGCCATGTCAGCTTATCTGAAAGTGAGTGTGAATGCCCTGTGGTCAATGGTGTGCAGTTTAGGGGGGATGGTTACAGCTCCTGTGCAGGTAAATAGTTGTTCCTTTTTCATTTCTCTGCCAAGAAGATAGTTTATGGAAAACTGGCTTATCTTTAGTTTGTTCTTTCACTGAACCAGGCGGGTTTAATGAATGGGGAATATATATGTTTAAGTGCAATCTATATCTGAGGGGAAGTATACTTATTCATGATGAGATAATGTATCATATACTTTGAGGGAGATGCATATCTATCTAGTGTAGGTGGATTTGATGAAATAGTATAGGGTTTCTTTTGAAGTATGTTTGAGAGTTAGATGTGTCTTAACAACTTTCTTGAGTTAAAAGTACCATCTAAATCTGCCTTTGGAGTGCACTTAATTGATACTGTATAAAGTGTGAGACCCATTCCAGGGTTAACGTTTTCTGTCAATTTTTGCAATGTCACGTTACCCCCCATTATTAACTATAAGCACCTACAAAGTAAACCATCTCTTCAAAGGCTAAAAAGCCCGAAGCTTATTTAAAAAAAAAAGATATTTAATTTGGTAGTTTTGTTTAGTAAATAACTACCCATCTCACATAATTCTTAATTTTATATGCACTCTTAGGGGTCTCTCTCAAACACTAGTAGGTATAAGTTACATTGTATTGTCACTCAAGGGAAGTTGTGCTCTCTTCACTTCCCTGATGCACCTTAAAAATGCTGAGCAAAATGGTGCTTCAACTATATAGGCATTTAAAACTGTTTGGATAACTAGACAGTCAATATCTTTTGACAATTCAGGGAGATTTGGTAGCTCGTTCTATTTCATTCTCTGGTTCTAATTCTCATGACAATCTCATGTTTTGTGCATTTACTACACAAGACATGAGCTCATGTCTGGAGATGGTGTTTGTTACCCTTGCTCTTTTCAGAAGTCTGTCTTTGTCATTGTTCCCTTAATGGTTTGGAAAGCTTTCCTTTTAAACATGCTCTATTTTGGCTATTGATTTCTCTTAGTTTACCATTTCAGCAACTGGGCCCGGGCGATGCAAAATTAACAATGGAGGTTGTTGGCAGGATACTCGAGATGGACGCTCTTTCTCTGCTTGTATGGTAGGAAACCATTTTGATTCTGAGCAAGTATTCTTTCTTTTGCAAATTGGTTCACAGAATAATTATCTGTTTGACTTTAACAGGATCACGAAGGAGGAAAGTGTGCATGTCCTCCAGGATTTAAAGGCGATGGCGTGAAAAGTTGTGAAGGTGAGAGATGCCTCCCTCTTTCTCTCTCAGAAACCCACACACACAGCCAAAGCTTGAAGGTTCTTGATTCTTTGGCTGTGATTGATTGACAATCGAGTGCTCTGTGGGAAAGGCTACCAAAGGGGGAAAATTAGAAGTACAAAAGAAAAAGATCTTAAACAACCAGCTTATAGTTCTATAACATGTTTTATGGGTTTGTTTTTTTACTCAATGTTTGAGCTTATGGAATGAGTTGCACTTCCTATGCAGATGTTGATGAATGCAAAGACAAGAAAGCCTGTCAGTGTGCTGAATGTAGCTGCAAGAATACCTGGGGAAGTTATGATTGTTCATGTAGTGGGGATCTGTTGTATATCAGGGACCATGATACTTGCATAAGTGAGTTCAAACCAAGACTCCCTATCTATATGTCATCATGTTTGTTGCCTCTTTCTATTGTTACCGGAAATGCCAAATGCAGGTAAGCGGGCTACTGAGGTCAAGTCTGGTTGGGCTGCTGTTTGGGTCATTTTGATAGGGCTGGGTATGGCAGGTGGAGGAGGATTCCTTGTCTACAAATACAGATGGAGGGTAAGTTTGCTGCTTTGTATCTCCTCCAATCTTGGATCTCTTGGTTAGGTTGTGGTTATTTTGGTTGAACAGATGCCTTAAGCAGTGATTTAGTGTGATACCTGGACTGAGGCACACATTGGGCAGAGAACGTTTTGTAGACCTTTAACTCTTTTGTTGTCTTTGGTTAGTGGAAATTGATGTGAAGGATACAACGAGTAATTCAATGATGTCTATTGGAGTATAATCTGATCTTGGAATGTTTTTATGTTTAGTAAATTGCTGATTTGGTTGTTTGGTCTAGACCCTCAAGAAGATAAAAGGAGTTCCCGAAAAAGGACCTGTTTTCCAAGGTGTCCCACATCAAATGTTAAAAAAAATAATAATAATTATAAATAATAGAACCAAAGAAGATGGGGTAAAAGCGAAACGCACTTTTGATGAAAGTCTTTTCTAAGCATATGATTAGTATCAGATGCATTAATGGAAGTGTTTTATATGGTCATAGAGATGCCTAAATACTGTCTTTTGTTCTGTCATTGTTCCTCATTTTTGTTGCCCTGTTATGGATTTAAGTCATGATCCATCTCTTATTTAAACTGCAGTCATACATGGATTCGGAGATAAGGGCTATCATGGCACAGTACATGCCCCTGGACAGCCAAAATGAGGTTCCAAATCATGTGAGTGATGATCGTGCTTGAAACAAACACGACTGATATTGCACGTAGAAATTTCAGTTGCTGTGGAGAGTTGTACTTTTTTCTTTCTCGACCAGGGTTCTTGAAGGTAGACTTTGTATCTGTGTAAAATATACTGGAGAATAATTTGTGGAAATCAAAATTATCTAAAGGGCGAGTTCATATTGGTACAAGCTAAAGAGGGAATGATTAGGTCATCTGCCTTGGTAGGGGACTTCAGTACTCTCATCACCAACGTGACTTCTTGGTGCAAGAAGAGTCGAACATTCTTAGTTACGGGTAAGAGTTAAATTGTAGCAGAATATGAGAATTTGTGTCGTTCTTCTTTGTTATCTTGGTTGACTTTTTAGGGATGGAGTATGATATCTCAATACTGATAATGTATTTGCACTGCTATTGGCTTTGACATTGTACCTTTATCTGGAAAGTTGTGAAATTGTTGTATCAATATGATAAAATTGATCATTGCTGATGCTTGAAAGATATTTCCTTTGGCTCAAAGGGATAGTAAGTCGAGCCTACCGTACGTTGAATGGGTTCCAAAATTGAATTCCTACTCCAACCTTTGTGGAATGCATCATATGCTTGCTTCAGTTTGTGTGAACCAATGATATTAGTGACTTTGGTTGGAAGACGAAGTAGTAGGTCGGTCATGTCTGATACAGAAATACGAGGGCATGGACCTTAACTGGATCTTTTGGTTTTTTTTTGGCAACTTTGATCTGATTGCGCTGGAAAGATGGTTTAAAATATAACGGGTGCTCTGTGATGCGCATAAAGATCGATCGGATCGGAGGCAAAGGGTTTGGACGTTCCGAAATACAACAAATTTTGGTACGAAAAGGGTCGAACGCTTCTCTAATCAATTCATGTACTATTATTGATTTGATTAATTAAAAAGTATCATCAATCCAAGATCAAACACAGGCCCATAACCTAAATTTTTCGTTAGCAATTGAATAGAGTCCGTTGTTCCCAACAAGAATCAGATACGGATTTCAACCCCAAAAAAAAGAAAAACCCGCGAGCCATCATGTATCCTCATTTGAAGTGACAAACGCAATTGAAACTTCGTTACTTAAATGCTAGTATATACACCAAAATTGGGGAACCAACACGCATGCATGATTTCGTCTTGGAAGATCAGGATTTTAGAGTAGCGTCCATATCCAGTCCCAAGTTCTTTCCGTTGTAAGCAATGGGAGCATACATCCATAGATCATCAGAGCTCAAGAGCTGTGAACAATTAGAAAATGGAAACACCAGTATTTGAGGATAGGTATTTGAATTAATTTTCTATGCACTGACAGTCACACGATTTTGTTTCCATAATTTTAAAAGGTCGTTGGCTAATCAGTACCTAACCCTAGGCCAACCTCATGCACGCTTTGCTTACAATATATCCATCCAGTAACACTACAAACGCTGCGATATCCTTTCAGGTAATCACTCCGATTAATTAAGTTTGACGGGACGTATCTAAGAAAATAATATATACTTTCTTTATACCTTGATTTGGAGTTGCAAAAATTTCACGTACTGGACTGCCTCTTCAAGCATGGTGCTAATGTCAACCTGCCATCAGGAAGAATTGGTTCTCAGATTCTCTTCATCTCGCATGGCAATGATTTAATGATTCAGCGCAATAAAATTCATTGATATATGTATAATGTACTTGATCACCTTTGTTCCATTAGGGATAAGTTTCTGCAAGATTCTCAATCTCTCATTTATTTTTTCTCTTCTTTTCTAGAAAACAAACAAAGAAGATCTTTCAGGACAATGTTCCAAATCAACTTGCAAATGGAGGCAAAACAGTTTCTGATACAACAAAGAATAGGCTGAATAGCAGGTATACTCGTACGTACCCTGGCATATAAGCTCTGGTGATCAGTTGCTGAGCCCCTGCTGGCCCTTGTTTTGCCATTTAAGTTGAATGCTGTAATTGCTCCTTTTGAGTCCGAACATGATGCTGGGATTGGTAATACTCCTGCATTAGACTCGTGAAAAACATTGGAGTCATCCTCTGAGAGGTAGCTGCTCGAGCTTTGGAGGCAAAGCATGGGATGGCCACCTTCAGCAATCTTACTGTCATAAGGATGAAGCTTTTGATGGTTGGTCTTCGCATTTATCATTCTCTTATTCTTGTGGACCTGCATTTAAGGATGTCATAAGAAAGAGAACTAGACAGAAACATATCCCTGCATGTAATTATTCCTGTGAAAAATGTTAGGATACAGTTCCAATTTCACTTTCGATTACAATTCTGACACAGAACAAAATATGGATGGAAAGAATTTCACGTTCTTCTGTAGCACTTCTCAGTCAGAAATGCAGGTTGCAAAATGCTTCCAATCCTTTCTATTACGGTTGTTACTTACATCTAGAGGTGTTGACGGTCTTTTCTTAGAACTCTCCAATAAGTTGTCTGATTCATCTTCTAGTGATTTTTCTGAAGCGAGAGAATTTATTTCATGCTGATCCTTTCCTTGTTGCAAAATCATTCCTCGAGAAAAAGCCTCAGGCATGTCGTTTTCGCCAGACTCCATGCTGCAGTCACTGCTCACATCTTGGTTTAGGAAGTCACGCCCTTCCTCCATTAAGATATTGTTCATACGAATGATCTCATGATCACACGAGTCCATTTTGTTCTTGCACTCCATCATAGCATAATCTGCACAGACCGAGCTATCATTTCTCGTCACAATCGGTTGTGAAATAATACTGTTGCTGTTGCAAAAGTAGATTTGTGACAAGGGACAAAGAATGCTGCTGCCTTCGCCACTGAAACTGCTCCCTTGTGAAAAAGAATAGCACACATCAGCATCAACACTAGTGTCATCTGAAGAATTGATTGAAGAATCTTCCTGGACCACGGCCTTGTTTACATCTGATTCACTTGCAGGCCAGTAAGTGGAGGAAAATTTGACATTAGAACTGTTTGGCACGTCATTTGGAAGTGAAATGTTGCCAAGCAACCGTACCATGAAGTCAGCCTCTTCAGTAGTACTGGAGTAGATTGCATTGAAGGAGCTCCAATCCCCACATCCCATGGCTCCAAATGACTCCATATCACGTACCGGTAATTTTCTTCTCCAAAGCTAGAAAGAAAGCTAGCGAGCCCCTAAAAGGATGAGGGATCTAAGGGGCTGCTTATGGACTTGCAGAAGAAGCTCGAATATTTGATGGACCAGTATTTGGACAGTGGAGAAAAAGAGACCTACCTGTATCGAACGCCAAGAGAGAAGTGTGTTCGTGGGATTGGCGTTTTCTTGTGTCCCAGTGAGAATATTTTTAAATGATGCAAACTGAATGAAAAAACATATTTTTAATGTGTTCGCAGATGGCCTAGTACGACTCAGATCGGGACCAAGCTCGAAATAATTCGACATATCAGAGACTTTTAATTAAACTGAATAGGAATGATTAGAGTCCATGATCCAATCATTTTAGAAGAGATTAACTGCTATGTATGATTAATTATTAGAAAACTCAAAACTAAACTGATTTCTCTTAAACATGTACTAGCCAGTCAATTGATTGATAAAGGAAAAAGTGTAACATCATCCATGCCCACGGGAAGAAGGGAGACGACGCTGCACTGTAGAACGTGGAGATGAGTCTTGAAACTCTTAAAAACTATCTAAAAGATCAGCAGACACAATCATCTTCTCATCTGCTTCTTGTCTCCTCCAACGTTCTCTCTAAACGTATTCTGAGGCTGCACCCGGCAGATATATATCCCGCAAGATTCCATTCGATTGAGATGTCGACATATATTTGTTGTTTAGCAGATGCATGTATGCGAATTGAATCTGGTCATACATATATTTAATCACTAGCGCAGGGCAAATTAAATTTCATCAAACTGTTGATTCTGTACAAATAATCCATGTGCGAAAGATGCGTGATGAGCATTTTAATAATCTTGCAATGGGAGGTGGAAGCTAGAATTTTGACTTTAACTGTCAACTTTAAATTGACATCGTCAAAAAAGATGGCTCATCCCATGGATGGAATTTATTCAATCCGACACTGCATCTATTCCTCTTCCTCTTTGGGTTTTGGTTTGGTTGAAAAGCTATTAGCTTGCTTGTGCGTTTGCATGGTTTGTTTGTACTTTGTACACAACTCGGAAACAAGTTTCAAAGTAGGTTATGATCATAATGGGGCGGGTTTCGATCTCTAATTAATTAGCTTGGAATTGTGTGCTATAGTGCTAGTCAAAGTGCAGTATCTGTATACTCCGGAGATCTTACACATGTTGACACATATTTCTAACCTCATTTAGAGTTCGATTACGCCAAAGTGATGAGATGATAATGGTGACTATGATGAGCCTAGTAGTAGTATTGCTGAATGTTTAACCGGATGTGCAATTTATGAGGGCGAGACATATATAGCACGGTAATCATTTGGGGTAGTATTTAGCTTCCTTTTTTTTTTTTTTTTTTTTTTGGGGTCCATCTATTTTATTGTGGTTTTCTTAGATTGAGATTACGAGAATCGGATCTATATCTCTTTGTTCCCATAAAAAATTTGGACGGTGATGTTAAGAATCTAGGGACAAGTACAGTATTTGATGGACCGCTAATAACATAAAGTAATTAAACATAACCATCTACTCCTTTTGAATGCAATAACTCTTGGAACACAGCAATGTATATATACATGTGTATTTCCCTTGGACTCATGATGGTGTATTTTTTTAAAAAAAACTTTAAAGTCACTGAAAGACCTTCGTCAGTTTAGATTATTACTTCCTCCTTAAGAGGGTTTTTTTTTTTGCTTTAAAAAAATTCAACTTTATAGTTATTTAAGTTATTCAAGTGAATTAAGAGAGCGTTGGATTGGACGGTAAGGTGAGAGGAATTGTAAATAAAAGATTTTAAGTTCAAATTCTCTCACTTACAAGAACAAAATAAAATTATTCAGGCGAACAATTTTAGAGCGGTGAACAAATCTTAAGAGGTTATTTAGGTGAACAATTTTTGAGCGGCAACCCTCTTCCCGGGCGGATGGATTAAAGGGAAAAGACATGCATGCAATGCAATGGAAGGGGGGCCGAATTGAGAAGGCTGAGAGAAGCGTGTCTATGGATCCCTAGGATTCCGGCACAAGGCACGCTTTCAACACGCGGAGGCCTTCACCAATTTTGTGCACTATTTACCTATAGGGAGTAAGTAGCAGAACCTAATCCAACAGTACTTTCGGAATTTGAGCCGGCCGTTGCACGAGCTACAGTTCTTACACTAATATTAAAGGCCATTATGTATAACATGCATACTTTTTTTTTTTTTTTTTTTTGTCGAGACAGGGCTGTCCGGGTCAATTCTTACGAGGCCCGACTAATTCCCTGCGGCTCGGGAGAGGAGGCCCCACTCCACACCGAACACGTTAACAACGGGAATCGAACCCTGGACAAGTCAGGAAGGTCGCCATACCCTAAGGAGGGGGAACGGACATGTATAACATGCATACATATACATATATATATGTATAATTCAGGTATAAATATTGCTAGTTATAAATATTTATATCTGAATTATACATATATATATAATTCAGGTATAAATATTGCTAGTACGTGTGTAGAACAAGATCAGGCTTTCTTCCAGAATTATGTTATGGCCTTAAGCTCCTTACACACTCCAATTAAAAACCAGCTTGGGAAAAATAAAAATCTCATTGTGCTGTTGCCCGGTGGTGGGCAGGGCAGGGAGAATATTCAATATTCATAGCCGACCTGCACGTTTTGGGACATTCTTCTTTTTAACTTAATTCCTATCCTTGGGTTTGAAATTCATTTTCCTACTACACTCATCTAGTACTAGTGCTGCATGTATGTAATAGTAGTTGTAGTTTCCCAGAGTTTTTGAACAGATTAGCTGTCAAGTTCCCCGGCATAATCACAACAAAAGCTCATCCACTACTGGTAATTGAGCTTCAACTGCATGCATATGATGGCTCATATTTTGATCTTGCACCCTGGTGTCTGTTGACAAATTTATGTTCTTCCTTCTTTATATATTACACTTTTTTGTTTACCATTAATTATTCTCCACGAGCGAGAGTATAGGAAGAAGGTGACATTAAAGATATATAATAACTGAATAGCTTCACGGATTATCATCAGACTTTTCCTTCAAAACCCTTCAGATTGGCTTGATCAAGAAAGAATATGCAGTAACACTTTTGGCAAATTAAAGAAACTAGAGAAGACTTTTAATTTCTAGGTAGGAAATGGCGTGGAAAGAAGACCCTCAAATTTACAACTTATTAATTTCTATGATTTTTACGCTTTTATTGCTCTTCTATACACACTATACATACCAGATCCACGGATAGATATAATATATAGCATTACTTATGTACGTATTACTACTTTAGTTACTAATATAGGTCCCCTCTCTCTCTCTCTCTCTCTCTCTCTCTCTCTATATATATATAAAATTAAAGTAGTGCCATCCAATGAGATCAAGTGTGGCGTCACTAATTAGCTAAAGGTTTCACAATTTATTTAAATATTAAGACTTGTGTAGGGGTGTCACGTAGTCAAGCGATAAATAATCCTATATTATTATACGTGACCTTACGGGGAACTAAGATAATTTATTTCTATATTATTGTAGAGGGACTTCAACGAAGATACACTAGGAAAAGTGAGACGGCTCGCCGCATTAGACCAGAAATACTTTTTTCCAATCGATAAAGCAAAGACATGCTAGAAATGAATAATTGCAAAGTACACAACAAGTGCAAAGCCATTCTTATGATCCCAGAGTACAAATAATATATTTGATTGAAATACTTCTTTGTCCAGTTGGTGATGAGAATAATGCACAGTATTGCATCAAAATGGTAAAACGGAATACTAGCATAATGCAATATGTCGATTCGTGTCGAAATTTTTTTTGTTATTCTTGAGAAAAAGTAAAAGTTTTTCTTTGCACTTACTTGTACGTTATAACTACTTGTTCGATAAAATTTAAGTTAATCTAGAGATACTCAATACTCAGGGTTCAATAGTAATAAACTATGCGCACATGAACTCAGCATTTTTTTTTTTTTTTTCAAAACGAACATGAGCCATACTTCCCGTACACGAAAATGACAGATAAATTACGAGATCGCAGAGTCTCCAAAGCATTTCTGGCCGTGAAAGGCAATTATCAGGAGCTGCTACAGAACATGGGCAAATATTAGAGGAAACCAATAGAGATAACACTCACCACATGTAATAACCCCAAAAACAATTGGAGTGTTTGGATAGAGTATTATTTGAAATAATTACAATAATACTTTGTGTGATATGAGATAAATAAATAATTAAAAATATAAAAAAAATTTAAAAAATATTTATGACGCAAACAAAATATTGCTATTTGACAAAATTTAGCTATCCAAGTATTTCGAAGCAGTTTTGGCAATTTGCACCACAAGACAAACTCTTCAAAGACATTCACTTGTACCTCAGTAAAAACGCGATAGAAAAAGGTAAAGAGGACGAAACATTTCAAACAAACTCCGATGGTACAGCTTAATGTATTGCTTGATCGTCAGCCAAAAACTGAGAATTTTTTTTTTCCTTTGTAGGAGCAAAAAAAATTAATAATTACAAAATAAATCATGAACAAAAAGACCTGCTCCTCTTCACCTGATATTCCATTTTGACTCTAAGCGACCAATCACTGGAAAACGATAAACAAACAAGACCAACAGTGACGGAAGGTAGAGAACATGGGAAGGATAGGTATTCTTTTGTGTCGTCAGAGGAACCATTTTCAAAAACTGATTCTATAGTCAAAGACTTGTAGGTTCCACAGGATGCCAGCCACAATTCTCAGGAAGGAGAACCACAAGGAAACAAGAAGAGGTTCAAAGAACCAAAAAGTTTACACTTAAAGGTAATCTGAGATCTTGATCCACCATCACAACCCTAGAAGAAGATTATCGCTGCTCATCATCAGGTAGCTCCTCCCCAAAACTTCGTTGTGCAAGCCTGTAGTACAGAATTCCCATTGTTGCCATGCAGGCCCTGCACAAAGGAGGAAAACGTGGTCTTGTCATGGTTAAAAAATAGCGATAAAAGTGAATAAAATGCCGCAATCTATTAGTGATCCAAGAACTTAAAATGCATATCAAGTGCCAGGCTACGAGAGGACCAATGAGAGACCAGGTTCTACAGTCTGTCAACTAAACTATGGCAGCAAAATCTTACTATAGATCAAAGCCTTTGGGCAGGCTACCCTGCTCCGTGTTAGTACACTCATGCAGAGTGCCTCAACCACCGTCCTACAATTGCACCACGTCAACTTTACCCTTTACTGCTCAACTTGTCACCCTAAATCAAATACTTGTGAAACTTTACAACATGTACATGTACTCCCTTTTCCAGTCTAAGACAAGCTTCTGACTCAAATTATGGGGAACTGAATTGAGGGGTTGAGGCCATCTCAGTGAAACATTAATTCTCTGGTTAGTATTTTGAAGTACTCACCAACTCCATCACTTATCTCCTATTACCACTTTAAAGTTCCAATGAAAGTGTTGTCCTTTATCTCGAAGGGAATAAAAACATTACAGTCCAGCAATGATTTGCTAAAAAATTCCGAGACAATTAAATAGTACTTAGGAAACTTTACATGATAGCTATGATGAGGAGGAGTTTTCTCGGATCCATCCTCGAGGACTTGTGATGTCTTGTGCGACCTTCTGGAATATCATCTAGATTCGATGCATCTTTCCTTGGTGGTGCAGTCACTGGTAAAGTTGGTAATGCACTTGACCAGAAAGGTAGCAATGACCTAAAAAACTTATGGCGAAAGTTTCCTGTGATTGAGAGACATTAGTTTTAACCTTCAGGTTCCCATCAGCATATCTCCACCAAATCATAAGCTTCAACCATGTACATGTTTCAGATTAAAAAAGAGGAAAAAAAAAATTTACCTTAACCAATTGTTCATACCATAGTAAAGCAAAAATAAATAAGACTGAACTTCATTGCGTTACTCAATACTCAAACCCACAAATATACAAAGCAAGGAAGAAAATTCTCAACCTGCCAGGATAATAAATGCTTCACTGTCACACCGTTAACTGAAAAAATCATTACTCACCCCTTCGTGTGTACTTTTTGAGATTTCCATCTTCATCATCAGCATAATATGAAATTTCAGAATTTTGCCTTTCAACCTGAGCTGCAGTCTTTCGGGTTGTAGCACCAGCCTAACATAAGATAGCACATATGAGAAGCAAAAAATGTATCATGATATGTAAAAATCAGGCAAAAAGCAAAACACTCTTACCCCAGGTGGACTTGAACTTTTCATTAGAGTGGATTCGTGATTAGATAGAGGAGGAGACGCTGAACTAGGGTCATCAATCTCCACAATGTCCACAATTTCAGAATCTTTGCCAACTGAAGGCGTCAAGCCTGCAGCATATTCTTTCTTGCCCATTGTTATTAATGGATCTGAGGCAAAAGCAGGGGGAGGACTCCGGGACTCAGTTGCAGGCAATGAAACTGGATGGTTTCCAAACAAGTTCTTCTCCAAACCAGTCTGCATGAAACCATAGAAAATTCAATAACTCCAAATGCCATTCTTCTATTATGACCCCTAGCACAAATAAACAACATTATGTTTCAGGAATGAGTGGAAAGCAAAAGTGAGCTCGTCTACCTTAAAGACACACTAAGATGCAAAAAAGAAGAAGATTTTTCTGCCTACAGTATGATTAGGTGCAAGTTCTTACAGCAATTTGACAAGGAGAAACCTAGATGCTTAGCTTCAGCCTATTACAACAGTAAATTCAATCTAAGAGCCATGATTTTTGAAATATAGAAACTGAATAGGTAATTATGTACCTATTTCACAACTTCATAAGGTCAAAAGTAGAGGATGACAACATATCGCATTCTTACTGATAGCTTTAAAAAATGTTGCATTAAAGAAGCACATATCTAGGGTAAGATCAAAATGCATCAAAAATTTTTCTGATCAACCATGAGTCCCGTGTGGATTAAGCACATGAAACATAGGCCCATCTTCTCTCCAAAACAACATTATAATGTCTAAAATTTACATTTTTAGTCAGACTTTTAAAAAAAAACATTTTCATTCAATAAAAGCACCAAAATGGTTCCTTAAGATTGTAACTGTCCCTCTCCCCAACAAAATCCATGGCTTCTGTATCCAGGTCAAAAGGTAATATTTTACTTTTTAATTCCACCCCACCCTGAAAAAAATAAATAAATAAAGATTAGAGATCTATGAGCATTTGGATTGCCTGACATGCCTTTCTCAGCTTTCACATCTACCTCTTTTTTTACTCGGTCAAAACACTTTGGTTGTGGGTTATTCACCCAAAACTCAATACGCTCAAGGCCCAAATGTCTAACCAAAATTAATCAACAAGGGAAGAAAAAAAGACTGAGTTATATAAACTCAATTGTCTCAGTCATCAATCTGCAACCACAAAATGAAAGAGAAAACATGCAAAATAGTTCCCCTTCAAAGAACAAAATTGCCTTCAGAAATCAATGTACTATACAGTTGTCTTCTGCTACTTGGATTTTAATATGTATCATCAGCTTGATACAATTTCTCACGGCAGATAAGTTCTCTTAACTCCTCCAACCCTTCAAAGATGGAGCTAGAGGTTGTTAAGAAACTTTTTCCACAATTAAGTATCCAAACACAAAAATTATCCACTAACACATCTTCATGCACATTTACGCAGCACAAAGGGAAACAAGTCATACAAAATTTTCAATCTCTTAACGCATACTTTGTTTCTGCTATAACCAAGTAACTAGCATTCTAGGCATGCATATCTGAAAGTACCCAATCCACAGCCTTCCCCCTCCTCACCCAACAAAAAAAAAAAAAAAACACTAAACACCACCCCCAACACATTCACACACAGAAAGGCAGAGCAGTTTCTTGGTATAATTTAGTGGAAATCAAGTTTTAACCTGCATAATAGCTTCTTTAAGCTTTGAGTGAAGAAGAGATGCCGAATCTTTCACATTTTTAGGAGGCCATATCTGCAGCACCAAAGTGCATGAAAAGATCAGTAGATGGTACACACAAAATGAACAGAGTCTGTTATAATGCTTTTTCTGTGACCCACACATTGACCCCAGAATAAAATAAACATTTTTCTTTTGCTGGTATCAAAGAATCAGAAGACAGAAAATGGTTACGCAGCTGCAATACACCCTGTCCAAAGACTGGTGTCATAAGATTTTCAGCAGCAGAGGCAATAAATCCTAGAATGATACTGCAATGAAATTAACATTGAACCTATCTTCTCAAATCCTTGGTCCTAACTCCTAAGTGGTATGATTTGGCAAATTTCACATCTTAGATAATGTTAAGAAATTCCCATCACAAGGGTGTAATAACTTATATTTTTCAAAATCTTTAAATTAAATTAGTATGTTGCCTAATGTTTCGTCACTTCCATTTGACAAGGATAATCTCTTAAAAATTTTTACTTTATAATCAACCAAAATTCATATTCATGCTCCTTGTGCTCACCCTGCATCCGCTTTACATGCATCCAACACCACAAAGCTTGAGGACAGCTTCCAAATGAACACAATGCAGAACTGAATTAATCAATGTAGGAATAAATATGCACGTCTATCTGCTAACAAAATAATCAATTTAGTTATAAATATGTACGTCTATCAGCTAACAAAATAATTTCTACCAAAATTAATCAACAATAGCTAAGCAATGAAAATGATTTAGTACCAAGATGTGTCCCACATGCAAAAAAGAAAAAAAAGTATCCCACATATAATCATATGGTAAGCAGTAAAAAGTTAGGACATAGCTTTCAAGTGAGCTCAAGCATCACGTGCAGCAGTAGGAATATCATAAGCAGGCAACTTTCAGACTAGATTCCTTCACTTAAAAAAGTAAATGAAAAAAAAAAAATCTAGGGCCATTCGGGTCCATGCAATATGCAAAGCTCCATTTTATACGTCACAATGCAAAGCAAACAACAAAATGTAAACCTCTTGTTAACACCCATAAGACAATGATCAAAAACTACCATTACATGCAAAATCTGAAATTTCTCAATACTTTCAATATTTCAGTTTTTGACATCGATGTTGCATACAGAAGGAAAAGCTTTAGAAAATTTTGAAGAGTATAGACATACCGAAGTTGAGCACGCTGGACAAGCATATCCAGCAGGAGCTGTGTGAGGGGGAAACCCTTTAATATGCGAAAGCAAGCAGCTTGTGTGTATAACATCTAGATAAGGCAATCATGTTAACAGCATGTACAGAAACCTTTCCAAGATCCCAATCCAAAGAAAACAGGATAGAAGTAAATTTAATTGCATGAAGACATACGCAGGCAACCCAATCGAGTAGTTTGAGAGTCAGTTCCATCTTCAAGGACAGTATGACAAAGGCAGCATGTTGGAGGCCAATCATATTCTCCATCTATTACCCAATCTGAGTAGGTACGGACCTGAAGTAGAAATACACATATATGGTTTATAAGCATGGGTGAATGCCAGGAGAAGAAGGGAAGTCACCACAGAATTGCATCAGTAATTCTGAAATAAAATTGGAAGATATATAGGCAGTAAGAAATGCATATCATCAAATTTGAAACGACAGTGTGCCTCAAATTCCCCGCATATTGGGCTATGGTACACAAAAAACATGCCTCAACAACATTTTGTTACTTCACATATATGAGCACCACATGTCTTCCTCAATGCATGTTGTAGCCCAGACAATGATTCATCACCTTTAAAATTTAACAACTGTGTACGAAGCACCGTTGTCCTCTATCAAATTGAAAGGGTATACTGAACCCACAATTTAGTATTAAAATAAGATTTCCCAAAACCGTTCCAGATTCTCCATTTATAAGAAATATTTCAAAGCTGAACATCACAATTAAAAAAAATATTATTGAACAGTAGGAGAATTCTCCAATAGCATTACCTAGTTAGACTAGGAAACTGGTAATTACACCAATGAGAAATATAAATTGACCGAAAAGCAATAATTCTTACAGAACCATGAGACATAGAACTGGACTAATACCAAGCATAGAGTTTGCAGAAATAAATAAAAATAAACGAGCCAGATTTTATTACAATAATTCAAAATCATACCACGCATATCTGATGCTCGGGAAAGCATATACACTCTCCACAAACAGGAACCTTGTGCACAAAACAGTATAATTTAGTCGCCTAGAAACAAGAGAAGAATCACAACTGGTTAGCACAAAGAAAAATGTCCAAAGAATTGTAAGCGGAAGCAATATAGTATAATGTACCTAGAGAAACCACTGTCCCCCGAACAAAAAAAAAGGAAAAAAGAAAAGGATTTTGCACAATTGATTTCATGACGAATAACTAGGAGCTAACAAATAAATCCCTATCCATCCAATAAAGCAAAGCAGAAAATTCTAGGCACTGAATTTTACGAAGAATGTCTTCCAAATCATCAATTGAAAAACCGATCTGATCTAAAATGGGAGAATTAATGTAAATGAGGGAGGTTGAAATATAAAATAGGGAGCGGTGTGAGTACCTTGCGGCATTTACAGACCACCATTGCATGGACTGTAGAGGCTGTGATATATATAAATTCGAGATCGCAAAATTGAGGACTGAATTTGGGGAAGGGGGATTCGATTGGGAAATTCTAGGGTTTTAGCTTGAGCATAAATCAAATATGTCCGAAAATTTCAGCTCAAGAGTGGGAAAACTTAAAAGAACGAATGGTGTTTTAGCCTTTAATCGGGATTGGCAAGCGATGATGCTCGGTGGTAGGATGTGACCAGTGAAATGTAAAAACATGGGAGTAAATCAGAAACGTTTATTTCCAAGGTGTGATTATTAGTATTACTGCGTTTAACGGTGATGGAGCGTATGTACTGAGGTATGGCCTATGGGGTGGCGCGGTGGCTATTGTACTGGATCCGTTTCAGTTTAATGCCGAGGCTGAGAGAGAGAGTGGAGTTTGGATCGTCTAATGTGTCGACCACCTGGCAGTTGCTATTTTTTCTCTTCTTTGTTGCTCCGGACAGAAGCGAGAGACAAGTGTTGGTGAACAATGGGCTGAGCCTGAGGGTTGGTTTGGGCTTGTTTGTGGGCGCTCATTGCCATCCACCTGGATAAAAGTGACTAAAATGAGCTACTACATAGCCACCGTAGCTTGCTCACTGGTTTAAGGCCTTGCCAATCTAGGAGGTGGTGCTAGCCCAACCTATGTAAATTGCTACTCTATAATACAATATTGACGTTTGAACCCCCAAAAAAAAAAAATATTTACCATTGCTCTGGCCCTTGAGTCTGGTTAGATGACCATTTACACATTAAGGTTCGATAGAATATTCTATATATAAAAGAAAAGCTTCATTAAAACTTTTTTTATGTCTCATTTCTATGTAGTTATTGAACAAAAAAAAAGAGAACAGAAAGAAAAGCTCCTTGGAAAATATTATCCATTTATTACTTTCCCTAAGTTGTTGTCCAGTTGGAAATACCTATTATTACTTGGAAATATTACCCATTCATTACTTTTCAATTTTTTTAAAATCTAATACAAGTTACCTTGTAATATTATCATATTTAACTCACTTTCGTTATTTTGAAATACACATGCTGCAATTAAAAGAAAAAAATATTAAGTATAAGGTTCATCGTCCACAAGTAGAGTGGTATGAGTAGAAATATACCTTCAACAAAGTCAATTAAACTTGTGCGTGAAAAATATTATAACACCTAAGACTTGAGAGTTTCTTTGTTTACAAATCATTAATTTCACTAAGCAATTTTTTCTCCTTATACTACTATTTTGCTGTAGCAATCTATAGTTTTGTAACTCATGGGACTAAATTGGAATTTTATTTTTTAAAACTCCAGTGAAATAGGACTAAATTAGATTTGATTTGGATTTGGTGGCTTACATTGGGGAATTTATTTGATTAGACAAAAATATGGGGACGGCAAGACGAGAAATGTGTATTTTGAGAGGGGCATGTCGTAATTAAACCTCAACTAAAGATTCAAACAGTAGCATATTTAGTACCAACAAACAAGAATCAAGTGTTTGAATTTAAAGTTTTAAGCTACGCCTTACCGCAAAGAATCACACTTCAACACTACGACTACTATCAACACCAACGCCAGCTGCCGCAGCAGCAGCGAGCATCAATTTTCAAAAACTCTTCCCCCCAATTTTCTCCTTCTCTTTGTAACGTTCTGGACTTCTTACCTGTATCCCTCCCTCTCTATCTCTCTCTCTCTCTCACACGCACTCTCCGTCTGGAACCCTAACCACCGCCAGAAATGACGGCGCCGCCGCAGGTCACCACAGGAAGGGAGCTGTCGAGTCCTCCGGCTGACGGTATAACAAACCTTCGCTTCTCTACTCACAGTGATCACCTCCTTGTTTCTTCTTGGGATAAGGTAATTTCTTCATGACCGAAGCTCCGGTCTTTTAAATTGACAACAAGCTTGATAAATTGTTGTATTTAGATCTGAAATTGTGTTTGCTGTTTTATTTTGTGATGCACTGCAATTAATCAGAGCGTTCGGTTGTATGATGCGAGTGCCAATGCTGTGAGAGGAGAGTTCATGCACGGAGGTGCTGTACTTGACTGCTGCTTCCACGATGACTCCTCCGGCTTTAGTGCCGGTGCCGACAACACCGTGAGAAGGTAATTCTATTATCGTTGAATCATTAGTAAATTTTAAGCTTTATGTTCAAAATGCTTTTCTTTGTGAATTGCAATTTGATGTTCCGATATTCTCCGAATATGATTTTTTTCCCCTACTTTTTAAAGCATTTGTTAGTTACATTCGATTATGATTTTCCATTGTAGGAAAACGAAGTGCAGTTTTCGTTTTGGAGTACGTTCCTTATCAGATAGCCAGGCCATTGTGTTTTAAAGAGTCTCTTCTCACAGTTTAGTTCTCAGCCTTAAAAAAAAAAATCGAATTCAAATATTTCTTAACTGTAGTATATTTTCTATATTTCAGTGTTTTATGTGTAAAGAAAGCTTTCCAATGTGAAACAGTCAACTATTTATTTACATGATTTCTGTTTATTATTTGTGGATGCTACAATTTTTTTGGCTTAGGAACCTCTGAGGCCCAATTGAAGTCAATCTTGAAGTACAGAGACGAATTTTGTTTTTATTTTTTTAATTGAATGGAGACTTTGCTGTCTGTGGAGATAATTTTTACATTTTGATTGCCCAGGCTCGTGTTCAACTACGGCAGGGAGGATATTTTGGGAAGACATGATGCACCCGTTCGTTGTGTTGAATATTCATCTGCAACTGGTTGGACTTCATAATGACAACTCTTTTTCTGTTTGTGCTAACCCTGTTTTATTGTACCCCCAAAAAGGGAAGAAAAAACTCTTCCTAGTTATGTGCCTTTTTATCAAGTTAATTATGCATTATAATGTAATTTTATCTGAGCATATGTTTGATCAGATTTCTTCATTGGTTTCTGGTGCTGCTGCTTCTCTTTAACTCTGTCATCTTTTCCCCTGCTTATCTGACACGCTGTCTATCTTAAACTTCATAATGTTAGGGTAGATCCTATATTCTTTTGCATAGTCCAACCTTCCTAAGATTCAATTTATGACCTTTCCTTCTTTAGTCTTATGATGTGTGTGAGTCGCATGCACTTAATTCCAGTCCCCACCCATGATCGTTAGTAGAAGGTACTTTCATGCTTACTGCTTTTTGATGGTTTTCTGGAAAACCTCTGTGAAAGAGATGCGGATTTAGGGTCAGATAAGTACCTATATCAATGTTCTCCAAGTGTTTATAAATTATAACATCTGCAATTTCTTTTATTGTTCTAAATATTTATCCTGCTTATAAGCAATCAATGGTTATAGTTTATAGTTTTTTATTATACTGTGATTCCTCTAGTTCTGGTTAATTTCTATTTGTCCATGCATTTGCCCAAGTTGAAACATGTCTTCAATTATCGTTTTAAGAAAAAATGGTTTCTCAAGCAATCTTACAGTGATAAATTTAAGATGATGGCATAATTATGCCTAGATTTCCTGTGAAAATTGTTGAGAGCTAAATCCTTTTATGGCATGAAGTGAAATCATGCATGCAAGATCCATTTTTCATCTCAGCATGTGGAAATGATAACTTCAACACTATAATTCCTTAAAGTTTTTTTCCAGCTGAAGGAATCTGTTGGATTTTTTTATTGGAGGAATATTTTGAACTACTTAATTAACAACCAAGGAAATAAGCATCTAAATTACGATAGAATTGATGTTTTGTTGTTATATTTGATTGCATTTGGCTTAAAATTCAGGACCTTTGACTTAAAATGATTGGTTCTAGCACAATCTTCTTGCTTGCGTATTTGAAGTAATTACCGGTTGTCATGATTATAGGACAAGTCATTACTGGAAGTTGGGACAAAACATTGAAGTGCTGGGATCCTAGAGGTGCAAGTGGGCAGGACCGCACTTTACTTGGAACATATACCCAACCTGAGCGTGTTTATTCACTCTCTCTTGTTGGCAATCGCTTAGTTGTAGCAACTGCTGGGAGACATGTAAATGTCTATGATTTGCGGAATATGTCTCAACCTGAACAGAGGAGGGAATCCTCATTGAAGTACCAAACAAGATGCGTTCGTTGTTACCCCAATGGAACTGGTATCTAATTATATATTAAACCTGTTATATAAACAACTTTTTTCTTCTATGTGGCTGCAGTGGGTGGCAGATGCTTATCCATTGTTGGTGGAGGGTGGGTTGGGTGTTACAATCTAATTGGATTTAGTCTGCAATTCTTACTGTTTAAAAAGAGTAAGCATTTCTGACAAGAAATAGGCAGTTTTAATCTCCACAAAAAATGTAATAAATATATACTTGCCTGTGGTTTCAACGTGCCTGCATTTAGAAATATGTACCCAGGGGTAAACCAGAAAAAGAAGGGATAGCTACTAACCAAAGTGGAAGAAATTTTAAAACCTGAAGGTGTTTGGAATTTCTTGTTTGTGGGAAACTACTGGTGTGAACTCTCTTCATTTCTTCGAATTACGGTTACTTATATAGTTGAAGCTTCGGGTTAAATTAACCATGGAAAGTTGTTACAATCATTTAGTGCTCCATAGATAAGAAAGGAAACATTAGACACTAAAAGGTATAACAGAAAAAACATGTATCTCAGTTCTGAAGGTCCCTGTTCAACGAAGTGTTATGGCATTTGTATGTGATATTGCCATTCTGTTGAGTAAAAACCAGTGTGACTACATGTGGTATACAATAATACCCTCTGCCATGTGATCAATCACCTGTACCTCCTTATTAAGAATCATTAGGATAGTTTGCTTCTGAATACTTGTTGACTACATATTATAACATTTTGCGATTTCTGTTCATAATTAGTTTATGCGTTTTTCTTTTTCACGTTGTGACTTTTGAAGAACAAATGATGTCAAACATCAGCATATTGCACAAGTAAACATGAGTAACGGTTTTCATCCAGTTCATGATGTATTTTATAATTCTTTGGTTTCCAACCACTTGTCGTCAATGAGGAGAAGTGTGGCAGATTCTATTTCCATTGATTGCCCAGCTTTTTTGGCTGAAGGTGGTCTGTGTGGGATGGATATGATGGATGCCTTACTCATCTGAGTGTCTTGACCTGAATTCTTAGTTCTCCAATAATGTCTTTGTGGATTTTCTGACAACTTATGATACTTCTGAACTTAAGTCCTATTGTAACTTACCTGGTGCAGATTTGGTCTGTAACAAGTGATGCCTCATACCCACACAATTTAAGTACTCCGTGTTGTGTTGAGCTTTGTGCTTATATAACACAAATGACCAGAATGAAGTGGTCGCACTTTTCTTGCCTAATAATGAATGTCTGAATAATAAGTAGGAAGTTGACTTTATTTGAGATAGGCAGTCTTAAGAAATGATTTTATTGTAACTTTCCACTTCTTTTAGCTTGTTGACCTTATT